TCGCCCATTTAAAGGTTTTCCCTGTATTCACAGAGTTGTGCAGCCATCCCTGTGGTCAGTTTCATAACATTTTGTCACCTCACCGAAAAAGATATCCCACACCCCTGAGCCCTCGCTCACCCCATGTCCTCGTCTTCCCGTCCCCCCAGCCCTGCACAACTGCGCCTCTCTAGTAACGCGCCACAGAGCAGTCTGTGACTGTGAGGGACCTGCTCTGTCTCCACAGACTTGCTTATTCCGACAACTCGTGTAAATGGAATCATGGAGCACGTGGTCCTCTGTGACTGCCCCTTCCCCGAACGAGCAGCAGCCTTCGGGGATCACCCACACTGTGCCGCGATCACTGCCGCATCCTTCGTGTGGCCAAGCAGCAGTCCGATACACAGATAGGCCACAGCCACCTGTCCGTGCGTCCGTGAGTGGCCACGGACTTGATATTTTGATCCCGCTGTTTTGATTTGACATGGAGCTTTGGACGGTTGGGGTGTGTGTGTATCCCCGATCTACGTCCTGACTGTGAGAAGCATAAAATTGTGCTTGGTTTATTGTTCTAATCGCTCATTACCGAGCACATGGGTTTCTCGGTGATGGTTTGAGCACTCAGTGATGGAGTCTGCTGGGAGCCAGCCTTGCTGGTAACGTAGCCAACCAAAACGGCTGAGGCACGATGGCTCCTCCTGAGCACCCAGGGCGGGAAGCCACAGGGAGCACATCTTCGCCAGCTGGGGGTCCCCCCGAGGTTTCAGTCACCCAAAGGGAATGGGAGAGCAGGAATAGACTAGACGAGACCCTGGACATCCCTTGGCGTATTCAGGGAGCCAGTAGCCCCATAGCCAGCATTTAGTAATAGCTAAGAGTTCCGGGAGGCTGACTTCATGCCATGCCCTGTTCTAAACATTTTACATGCATGAACTCATTAAATCCCTCCAATGACCATATATCATAAGTGCAACCATCATCATCCCCATTTTACAGATAGAAACTGAGGTGCAGTGCTCACTTGGGTAGGGTATATACTCAAAGGGGCACCTGGGTGGCTCAGTCGGTGAAGTGTCTGCCTTCGGTTTGGGTCATGACCCCAGGGTCCTGGGTTCAAGCCCGTGTCGCTTCTCCCTCTCCCTCTGCCTCTCCCCTGCTCATGCACGTTCTCTCTCTCTCTCTCTCTCTCTCTCTCTCTCTCGCTCACTCTCAAATAAATAAATCTTAAAAAAAAAAAAAAAGATAGAGAAAGAAAGAAATGGAGGCACAAAAATGGTACGTGGTCCAAGGCCACAGAACTAGTAAATGCAGAGGCGAGGCAGGATTTGAACCTGGGCCATCTGGCTCCCACCTGAGCTCCGGGCTCTACTGCGTCACAGAGAGCATGAGAATCACCAGCTGGGAACCCCTCCCAGCACAGACAGGGCTCATTCTGAATCTTGTGGGGACTCTGGGGATGCTAGCCACTTCCTGTGTCTCCGGGAAAATGATGGCATCGCCCCTAGGAAACAGGGCACCTGTTGCATATCGGGTTGGACAAGAGGCTAATGGATCTTAAGAATTCTGTTTACAAATAAGGAAGCGCAGAGTCAGCAAGACCCATGTCCAGTACGTTTGAGAGCCAAGACTAGAACCCAGATTTGACTCCGAATGAGTTGTTCTTTCCACTTCTGTCAAGCAGTCCCTGTGCCTCCCCAGCTCCACCAGACTCAAAATAAAGGTGTTTTCCTTATGCTTGTCCGACAGGCGATGGGTTTGATAAAGAAAGTGAAGATACCTTATCTCCCAAATTACATTTATAAGGTCCTATCACTAGAATGGCACTTGGGATGAACATCTCTGCCTCCCCTCTCTGTTGTCTTCTCTGTTGTCCCTGCGGTGACCTGGGAATGCGCCTGGACCCTAACCCAGCCCGTGCCACCACCACTAACCCAGCTGAGCCCGCCTGGATGACCCACCACTCCCCCAAGGCCATGGGCTACACTGATTCTAAGACCACTAATGCGTCCGTCATGTGTCCCACTGACTGAGGGCTGCTCAACCTTGTCCACACTCCCGGTCTGCCATCACCTCCTGGGAGGAGACTCTCAGAGGCCAAGCACCTACTATTTTCAAATCCTTAAAGCCCACAGATGGGCAGATATGGGATATTTGGGACTTTGGGGGCTTATGTGAAATCTGGTCAGCATTCACACACACATTCCTGTCCCTGTGCCTCATCTTGTTTCCGGTCTTCCCCTTGCCCACCTCCTCCAGAAAGGGCCGTGTGCCCTCTGAGGGCCACCACGGTCATCCCAGTGCCTGCTGCGGGGTCTGGAGATGCTCAAGAAATAAGGAAGGAGGGTCTCAATAGCACGGGGGACGGACACGAGGTTTTCTCTGTCCGGTGACATTGCAGTGTTCTTACCCTCTGTCACCTGAGCCACAGGGCTCTTCTGGCCCCGACCCATCCCATCTGCAGGAAGATGTCTGCCAGGCCCCTCCTTAGCGAATGACAGCCAACCCGGCATTCGTAAGGAGATGGCCCAGAGTTCAGTCTGGGACCCTTTCTTTGCCCTATTCTGTGTATCCTCTGATTTTATCTAGTCTTGTGACTGTGAATACAGTCTAACGAGTGACTTTCCCAGTTTCGTGTCCAGCCTGGACCCCTCCTCTGAGCTCTGGACGTGGTTGTATTCTGTTCCCTTCTGCCGCGTCTCCAGTTGGACGTCTACGAACATTTCAGACGCTCATGACCGAGAAAGAACTGTTCATCCCTCGTCTGCCCTCACTCACGGTTCTCATCCCAGCAAGCCTGCCCCAGCGCAGGAAAAAATCCCGCCGCCTCCCACGGTCCGAATCAGGCTCCCGGGAGTCGCCCTCAGCTGCTGCCTTCCCTTGCTCCCCAGACCCAGGGCGTCCGTCTCTCCACGCTGTCCTGCCCCCAGACAAGCCCTTCTGCCCCTGCAAGCCTGGCCACTCCACCACTGGCGCTCAGCGGGGCCACCTGCAGAAGCCCCTCCTGGGCTCTCCACTTCCACCCCACCCGCCCTCCACAGACAGCCTCTTGTGGGGGGCCCAGCTCCCAGCTCTCCTTGAAACCCTCCAGATGGTGTGCTGTGAGACGGCCTCCCACAGCAGCCCCCAGGCCGCCTCGCATCCTTACCTTCCTCGCCTCATGGACGCACCGTGTCTCTGTCCTGCTTGTCCCTCTGGCCCTCAGCCTTTGTTTCTGTCTGTGCTGTCCGCTCGGGAGAGTTTTCCTCCCATCTCGTCCCCAGCTGGGATTTAACTCGGATAACGCCTCCTCGTACATGTCTTCCCCCACCCCCAGAGATAACGTTTTCTCTCTTCTTAAGCACTCAGCAAGTCATCTTATCTACCTGTGTATGTGCTTGTAGTTTGTGTCCGCCTTGGAACAGCAAACCCTTACAGGTGAGGGCTCCGTCTTGTTTACTGTTATACCCCAGGGCCTAGAACCATAGATGTTTATTGGTGATATTATTGGATATAATTGGATATATTGGATAATACTGGATATATTAATGACTGAGTAAGAGAACCCTTCCCAGAAAGGTCTAGAGTTACTTAGCACGTTGTTCTGGAAAGAGCTGGAGCTTTGGTATCTAGGGAAGTCCGGTGCTGGCTCTTACTGACTTGAATAGCAAGTTACTCAGCAACTTGGGGTAGTTTCTTCTCCTGGAAGAGGGGCTGTGAGAGTTACTGCGAGTGTCCCGAGTGCTGTAAGGACAGAGCTCCCCACACAGCAGGTGTCCTGAGCACGGAGGTAAGTCATACGGGCCTTCCTGGTTCCCGGCCCCGCGCCATTTGCATCGTCCCAGGATGGGAATGGCTGGACGCTGGGTGAGTCGAAGAGTCAGGGATAAGGGAGGGATGTGAAGGAAGACTCTGGAACCGTTGTGGCATCCCGGAGAGTTGGTCTGTAGATCTTTTGAAGTGAGTGTGTAAGTATGATCATTTTGGAAGAATGTGAATCCCTTAAAGGACTGTGTTAAGATCCATCATCATTCTAGAAGAGCAAAGAAGGAAACGCTTCATATTTTCAAGGCTCTGGTCATCTGTGCTGTCTCTGGCGAGCAAGAGAACCTTCCTTTTAGCCAAGAACAGGGGCTCCTCAGCCCCCGAGCTGGTGCTCTCCTCGTTTCTCTCCCTCACTGTGGACGGAGAGGCCTCCCTCGGTGCCTTGTTTCCCTAATGCAGGGCCCAGACGGTGTCAGGTACTTGGGTCTTGGACAGAAGAAGACGATGGAGAAACGGGCAGGGCCAGGAGGGAGGCAGAGCCCGACTCGGGCCAAGCACGAAGGTTCCGCTGTGTGCATGGTCGTGTTTACACAACACGGCAACGGCTTGGGGGAAGTTCCACGCCATCCAGACACAGGGACTCCTCAGTTCTCAGAAGAAAGTCCCATAGAAAAGGAAAGTAAACACCAGAGGTGATTTTTTTTTTCTAGCCTCAGCAAAGTCAGACAGGAACCACAGGAGCGGTTTCCAAGCTGGCTGGCAGAGCCAGGCTGATCGGTGGAGGGAGGGCTCGGTGAGCCAGAGCTGGGCCCAGGACGCTGGCGCAGAGATACGACAGTCGGGAAGGACGGGTGTCAGCTAAAGTGGGACACAAGGAGATGAGTCCAGAAAACAGACTGAAGACCTAGAGACTGACCCAAGAAGAAAGGACCCGCTGGTATCTCAGCGGTGACTCAGACCTGGTCTGGATGCAGCTGGGGAGAGCCTGTGACTGGCCAGGTCCCAAGGGGGTCAGTCAGGGTATCGGCGACTCTGGGTGCAGGTATGGCCCTGACGCTGCCGGGGGCCGGGGGGGCGGAAAGCCCCCTCCGACAAGGACTTTCTGCACACTGGGCTCTGTGTTAAATGCCTTGTGGACATATTAGGGACAGAGAAAGAACTCTTAGTCCCAGGGAGGTCGCAGGGACCCCAGGAAAGTCTGGGACTAGGCAGGGACCCTGACATCCTTCTCAGTCCAGGTGGGCGCATGGCCTTCCCGAAGCAGCCTCGGGACCAGGAGAGAAAGCTGGAGAAGTCCCTCGCTAACCTGGAGCCTGCGTGGTGCCCCTTTGAGCCACTGGAGGAGGTTAGCAGCTCTAGCTACGAGAACCACGAGGCAGAGACCCAGGCAGAGCCTCGAGGAGGCTGAGCTGTCAGCTCCTGTCCATTTGCAAGGCCACACTTCTCCTGCCGCACCAGTGCGACCCAGTGGCCAACAAGTTTCGCTTCTTACAGAGCATTTCCCAGTTTCCCAAGCGCCTTCACAAATCATGCTGCCTGACTGACATCCGTTGTTGGATTATCAGCTGCTGGAGGAAAGGGTCTCAGAGATCATCCTCTTGGGTCCCGCTGTGTGACTCTGGCTAAGTTACTTGCCCTCTCTGGGTGTCACTGCTGCAGCTGAGAGCCTGGACTCTGGAGAGGGGCTGGTGGCGAGTGGATTTTCCAGGCTTCAACAAGCTCTGGAACCCTCGGACGTTCTAATGGAGAACCATTCACTGGGCTCCAGGGAAACAAACTCAGATGTATTATAATCTTTCCTTCAACCCAGCTTGTAAGCCCTAAATGCTTTCCAGAAGCCTCATAGCACTTCTCTGAGCTCCTTGCCAAGCCCTGTTTTGAGACAAGGAAGTTAGGGGGAGTTTCTGAGTCCCATACAGCTCTATTTTTGTCTGGAATGTGCCTTCCTGCTCACCCGCCACCGGTGCCTTGTGAGCAGAGGCAGAGTGTGTGGTCAGCGGGGCCCAAGCAGTGAATAGCAGCCGACGGAGAAACGATCTGTTACATGTGTGGGGAGTCGGGCAGAGGCGCAGACCAGCCGGCCCAGCGTCTTTGCCAGGGGGCTCTAGTCATCGAATCCGGGCCAAAACCTCTCCATAGGACCCGAAGGACAAGACGCTGGCCTGTGATCCCTCCTGGCATGGCAGGTGGGAGCCCCGGGAGCTCCTCAGCTGGGCCTGGCTTGGGGAGGGGGTGCTCAGTCTCCCCCGCTGGCTTCCCGAATGGAGGTGAACCCTTCCACATCCGCATGCGAGGTCAGCATGGGGTGTTTAGGCTGGGCTTGACCTTGAATTACAGCAGGAAAGAGCAAAGACGAGCTCGTCTTTCCTCCGGGACAGCCTGTTCTCAGACCCGCGAAGGTCTGTGTTCCGGCCACTCCTCTCCATCTCTAAACAAAGGCGTCTTCACAGGCCTCAGCCCTGATCACTGAAGTTCACAAGAGGTTAGTGGGGCTTGGGGCTTGCCTTACCCCTGACCCCAGGCAGGGTCTAGCATGACCAGTGACATTTACTGTGGAGGGAGCACCCAAACAAGAAAGGTTGGACACACCTCTAGCACAAAAATGAGGGCCTAGGAAGTGCATATGCGTGCGTGTGTTGGCACGTGCATAAGCGTGCATGAACGTGAGTGCGTGTGTGTGATGTACACGGACACAGGCCTTATCTCTGTGGGCCACGAGCCCCGTGCAGAGACCAAGGTGGGCTTTCTCAGACTAGCTGCTGCCCAAATCCCAGTTTCAGGCTAGACGCAAGGAGGGGGAAGTCACAGGGGGTGTCTGCAGCCATCACCATCATCCCCAAAGCAAAAGCCTGATGCCTCTAGGACTGGACATTTAAGAAAATACTGTAGCCAGGTGGTTACGTAGGCCACACGCCCCACAGCAGAAGTGGGGTGGCCATGTACAGCCCTCGCTGACTCCCCAAGTGTGTCTCGGTGACAAGTGCCGCATGGACGCCAACAGTGTCCAGGGCACGTTGGTCGCGTCAGGAAGCCTGGAGGCACCTGGAGGGAGTCCCAATGACCTGCGCGGGAGGCCACGCAAGCCTGCGCACGCCTGTTGCCAACTTGGGGAACCCTAACTTGCAGGTGGCTCGTTCGGCGAAAAGGAGCAGAAGGAAAGACTGGGATGAGCCGCTCTCGGGAGGGACGCGGTGGAGAGCAGAAGGGCTCTGGCAACGATCCCATTGCTGGTCATAATGACAAGCCTTCCAGAGACCTTCATGGTGTGCCCAGCTGGCCTTGGCACTCTAGACAGTGAATCATTTAATCTGCGGAAAGGTGCAGAAAGGGCGAGCCACTGGCCCAGCTCGCCGAGCTCGTAGGAGATGGGAGAAGGCAGGGCCTGAACCGGGGGTCTGGCTCCCTTCTGCTCGCAAAGTGCCCATCAGACTATTTCCTGATTAATTCAACAAAGAGGTACCGAATGCTTCTTTGTCCAAGGCACTCACTTAAGGAGAGAAGCCAAGACCTATATCCATGGTCAGAGTTCAGTAAAGGACACCTGCTTACCCTGTTCCCTACACTTAAAGCCCTTCTTTCCAACGTGTTGGCCACTCCCCATTTCTGAAGGCCTCTTCTGACCAAGGGTAGGAGAGCCCTGTGCCATCTCTACAGACCCCTCTCCAGTCTGGGTCTTTGCAGAATGAGGAACACAAGGCTTGTGCTACTTCGCAGACCCCTGGGTGCCCCTTTGGGACAGGACCCAGTTTTATTCCTCTCCAGACCCCCGGAGCCACACCCAGGGCCGAGCGGGCCACCACTATGCACTAAACGCCCTTGAGTGGAGGTTCAGGATGCTACTGAAATGGGTCGTTGTCACAGCTTCCCTGCTCGAGGCCACAGCACAGCGCCCAGCGTGGCCCCCAGGAGCAAAGAGGAGAGAGCCAAGCGCACATCTGCCCGTTAACTTTCGCTTCCCCTTGGTTTGCCAGGAGAGACCGGCAGAGGCCAGGGCCAACGTGGATGACTCAGCGCCCCCCTCCGTGGCCCAGCTGGCTGGGCGGTTCAGGGAGCAGGCAGCCGCTGCAAAGGAGGTGAGTCGGAAGGCTTCTGAGCCCCTCTTCTGGGAGGGGGGCTGGAGGAAGGGGAAGTCTGGGTCAGGCCCAGAGGAGAGGGAGGGAGGAGGCTCCATAATTACCAAATTAGGAAGAGAAGCCCGAGAGGGGTCCCTCTGAATGTGAGGGGTGTGGCCAGGCAGCTGGGCCTGGGCAGAATCTTTCCCCACTCAAGTGAAGCTTCCCACCAGCCGGGAGTTGGGTCGGGGGGTCCTGGAAACATGGGAGCCTGGCTTCGTTTCCATCTTGGTCATGTACTGTGGGGGATTTGGATCCTGCCTGGCCATGCCAGGCCTGGACAGGTTCAGAATACGGAGGTGCCCCATGCTCAGCTCCCACCCCCGCGTCCAGGAGTCAGGAGCACGGTGAGAAAGGGGCAGATTCTGAGTTGAGAATTGAAGAGGAAGAGAAAACTTTTCAGGGACGTGCATTCTGATGGGAGGCCAGGGATCGGGAAGGACAGGGATCCAGGGACCACCAGACCCCAGGGGAATCCAGCTGGAGGGCACAGTGTGAAAAGGGTTGTTGCGATGCTGGAAAGAGTTGGGCTAGATTGTCCTGAGTCACTCGGTGTGCAGAGCTCAGCGGGAATGACAGGAAGGAGAGGCGCCCCGGGGAGGGCCATGGCCCCTTGGGGCAAACAAGGGTGCAGCGATCATTCTTCTTTAGGTGCCATGTTTTGTGCTTTGGTTTTCCCATCTGAAACATCGATCTTCAGTTTCTAGAGAGTATCGCGATGTCACGAAGGGTGAGGAAGGTAGTGGTGATAGAAGGTGCCAGCAGCACTTGGAGACCGGAAGCAGGTGTTACTTTGAGAGGCTGTTTCAGGCCAGTGAGTCCCGAAGCAGACAGGGTACTCCAGCAGAACAGGACCAGGAGCCCGGAAGTCAGAAGGGGCAGACCATGGAAAAGAATCAGCTCATACAGCTAACGGACAGTCTTTATTAAAGACATGCACCCCCTCCCTCCATCTTCTCTCTCCGGACATCCCTGAACATTCCTAAAACCAGCTTCCACTTCCTCCTCTTCCTCCTTGTTGCCTGATTAGCTCTCTCTCTTTTTCTCTCTGTGTGTCTGTCTGTCCCCCTGCCTCCAGACACCAGCCTGTAAACCAACGAGAAGGAAACCGCCCTGCTCCCTTCCCCTGTTCCCCCCCAAGGTAGAGCTGGGCCAGAACGGTGAGGAGGTAAGTGTCATGCCAGGGCTCGGGGATGCTGGTTATGGATCTGCTTTCTCCTTCTAGAGGAGAAACACACACATGTAGACCTTGAAACCTGTGCAGGGAGTTTCTCCCGTCCAGTTTCAGGGATGAAGTTCCTCTTCTTAATGCTCCCAGCATCCTTGATTCAGACACCCAGGTTCCTTTCCACTCCTCCTCATGGAGGCTCCTTTAGGATTTGTCTAGACTTGGAGCACTGTTTTCCAAGCCGGAGAATTTCAACAAAGAGAACAAATGGGTCATACAGTATTACCACGCCAGCCTCCGGAGTCACCGAGCTTAGGTTTCAGTCCAGGTCCGACTTTTATGATCTTCCTTGCGCAGAAGTCACCTGGAAAGAGGCTGCACTTGCGTAAGGCAGGGTTGCCTCGTGAGACCGAGTACCGTGGTTTCGCACTACTCTTGTAAAGACTGGCTACTGCTCTGGGTCCCTGGAAGAAAATCAGAGTATACAGAGGCCTCGTCGCCCTGACATATAAATAACCAGCATTACCAACAGAAGACGGGCGCTGGTATCACAGATCTAGCCAGCAGTAGATTCCCAGACTCGGTATGTACCTGCCCTTATTTATCTCATCGTAGCTGTAAGAGTGACTTCTCTGTGCCCCCTCCCAGAGCCCAAAAACCTTCATGGTGGCCACACCACGGTCCCCGAGAAACGAGCTTGCATGTTCTCTCATCCAGCCTGGGAGACCCACCCCGAGAGGGAGCAAGGAAGCCAAACACAGCTCAGTTCCCACATCTCACCTCAGCCACCTCTCTCCTTCCCTTCTGGGGACCAGCAACTTGATAATAGACACGAGCTGCCCGTGTGACCTTGAGCGCCTATGGTAGTGAACGTGTGGAGGACAGAGTTTCAAACCATTCCCACCCAAGGCTTACAGGCGGAAGCCCGTCAGAGAAAGCGGAAATGCATTGCTGCTGCTGGTCAAGGAGGGGTGGGGGCATCTAGAGGTTACTGCTCTGAGGTTGCTCCCCCAGGCCCTGAACAAGGGTCTCTTTCTGGAATGGGAACCCCAAGAAACGCAGTTTTTAAAAACTGAGGATTTTTGGAATTTCTTCAAACACCAACATTATGATTCTGTGGCCTCAAGGAGTTACTAGCCAGTGCTATGACCAGATACATGCCAACGACTTCTCTTTACGGAGGGTCAGCTTCTCCTGGTGACTCTCAGCCCCTGGGCTTGGTGTCTGTGGCCGTGGCCCTTAGGAGCCTACCCTGAGGCTGCCCCCCATGACCCGGGCTCGGCCCTGGAGAAGCCCCTGTCTTGCACTGAGCCTGTTTCCTTATTTGTGAAACGGGACACGAACACTAACCAGACAGATGACAGGGGCTGGACGGGGACGTTTTATTCCCTGGAATAAAAGCAGAGCGAGTCAGGTTAGTTCAGCGGCTCTGGGAGAAACGGTCTCCAGGTTCACCCCCGGGACCGCCCAGCAGAGAGACGGCCTCTAAGAGCCGAGGGCTGGATGAGTCGGAGGGCGGAGTTTAGAAGGACAACCTTGCCTGACGTGGCCGGCTGCTTGCACGAACGTAGGAAGGACATTGCTTCCAGGACCAATGACGTCTTGTCACCTGGGTGATCAGGTGGAAATAAAAAGAACCAGCCGCTTTGGCTGGCCAGGCTGGAGGGAGGCTGCTGCCTGCAGGAACCCGAGTTCCCGAAGCCTGGGGGGGTGGGGCTCGAGGGAGGGCCCCAGTCAGGACATGCTCAGGGCGGGCAGGGTCTCCCCAGCGCTCCGTCTTTGCTGCCCGTCCAACCACAAGGCTAGTCGGTCAACCCTCTACCAGAGAAAGGCTGAAAAGCTCTCCCAGCTGAAAGATCAGCTTCACAATTTCCAGACCTTCGAGGAACATCACACATAGACATACATACTTCCGTTCAGAGCCTGAGCGAGTTTCCCTCCGGGGACGACGGAGGCCCCGCCAAGGCCGGGAGCCCCGTGTTAGACGGCGGGGAGAATGCTGTCCCCTGCTGTCGTGTCCGGGAACTGCACTGGCTGTTGCACCCAAGTCTTCCCAGTCTGCGGCCCACGTCAAATGACCGCGGGCTGGGAGCCTGGGCTGGGTTCCCAGCCCGGTCCTACAGCACAGGGGCTGCTGTTATCCAAAGTCCCCTCTCTAAGGAAGATAGTGGTCGCCCAGGGAAGAGAAGTTTCTGATACAACATAAAGTGAGCTTTGTCAGCAAAACCCTTGCTGCGGTTCCCAAAACAGTATCTTCAGAAACAACAGCTCCTGTGAAATTTCACAGTAAAGCCCAGAAATTAAAACCAACTGATTTGGGGCTGGAAGCTCTTTGCACTCATCAGGGACACGTGGCTCCTTGCACGGCTGCTCTGGGAATGTCTGACAGGGTAAACTTGTGGGACCAAAGGCACCTTCTTGGCACTGGAGGTGTCCTTAGAATCATTGTTTTCTTAAAGATTTTATTATGTATTTGACAGAGAGGACATGAGCAGGGGCAGAGGGAGAAGCAGATTCCCTGCTGAGTGGAAGCCCCCAATGTCGGGCTCCATCCCAGGACCCCAGGATCACGACCTGAGCCAAAGGTGGACATTTAACCAACTGAGGCACCCAGGCGCCCCTAGAATCATTTATTCTAACCTGCCTGCCTGGGTCTTGGTTATCAGGCTGAGGCCAGGGCACCCGACTGTCAAAAGCCGAGTCCCAGCTGGAAACTGAACCAGCTCAGCCCCTCTCTCTCAATGTGGGACCTTAAAAAGGTCACAAGGAGTTTGCCTGAGTAAGTCTTCCTCCTTCCATCACTACCGTACAATTATCCTGTTAATAAATACCTTGGACTCCCTCCAAGAGATGGGCGCCACTCCTCTTTTTATGATGCAGGTAAACTAGCACGCGGGGGCAGGAAACACATGTGGGGTCTCCAAACTGTGGACGAGTCCGAATCCCGCCCCGGCCTCTGCTAAACCACACGACGCCACTGCCGTCACCATCACGTCACTGTCTTCACTCCAAGTTGGGACCCATATATCAGGGGACCGAGACTCAAGTGACAGGGATTTGACACAAAACAAGGAGTCCATTTTTTAGACAAAATAAACTACAGACAAGATTCCTGAAGTACGTTCATCACAAAAATATCTCCAACTGGCAGAAAGTTTGTACGGTTTTCTATGTATGTATCAGCCACTGGCTGCTTCTGGAGGCCAGACACCAAGTCACACTCATCCTCCTAGAACCAGTGCGATGCCCGAAGGCGGCAGGGATCAGCGTCTTCTTAATCAGGATGAAGCGTCAATGTTCTGGAGAACGATGATTGATAATTAACACACGGGTCAGATTTTTCCAAAAATATCATTAGTTCAAGGGAGAGATTTCAGTTGTGCCTCTGTGACGTTTCAGCTTTGGTCTGTAGTTGTGGTTTTGTTTATGCAAACAGAACAAATGGTCATTTTGCCCTTTCTCTTCGGAATTCCCTCCCTGTGGGCTCACGTTGTTGAAGGTCATGAGGTGAGGCTCTCGTGCCTTCCGACGGAGTCTGTTCTCGCTTCATGACCTTGAGGTCTTCCTTCCTGGGGCAGGAGGCCTCTTATGTTTCGGACGTCTGTCCTGCCAGCTCTGACTCACAGATGCAAGTGGTCTTGTTGGCTGTGAGATGGGGGGCATGTGGAGGGGAGCCTAGGCTGGCACGGGCCCGGGCGTGGTAAGTGCGGAGCTGAGGCTCAGTGGGGAAGTGCTGAAACCAGCCTCTGCCCCCGCTCTTCCACCTGTGCCTCGCAAGCTCCGCCGGAACACCACCTCCCTGCACCTCGCTCATTTGGTTGTTTTGGTCCGTTTGCTCTGTAGAAATCACCGCCCAGTGCAAGCCACCCTCCTAAAATCAAGGTGAAGAGCTCGCCTCTGATCGAGAAGCTTCAGGTAAGCGCGGAATGGTTCCCCGTGGCTACTCTGATGCCCCCTCATCTCTTATCCGACACCCGGATGCCTCTGGGGCTCCTGAGGGTAGGACCTGCCATCACCTGAAGACTTGATCTCTGCTAACCAGCTACAAAGGATGAGGATGTCTCGGTACAAAGGGCCAAACTAAAGATCCCACCAAGCACGAGCTCCTGTACTTAACAGCTAATGGTTGGTGGCTAACGGGGTGGTCCAAAAGTCTAGAAAAAGACATGATAGTGCAGAAACGCTCCAGGACTAGCCAAGTCCTCTCCCCCAAAGCCTGAATGTCCCCACAAACCATTTCAGTCTCACACAGAATGGAAACTCAGCGGCTGGGCGTTGCATGGATTTGCCCGAATCTGTCGTTAGGAAAGCCTGCCTCCCCGATCACCTTGTGAGCACAGAGCCCTCACTACCGTGCCCACAGCTGGCCGGCTGTCCTGGGGGTGTAAATGAACGTGCAGCACTGAACTTGAGCTCGCGGTCTTTTGGGGGAGACAAGACGTCCACGCATGATACAACAGAAGACATACAGATCTACGTTGTGTTAGCCGCCCAATTCCTGCTGCTCCAGATCGGGGTTTCTCTACCTGGCAACACGGGGCGGGGTCATGTTGTGGCAGGGCACTGCCTTGTGCATTCCAAGATGCTTAACAGCATCCCTGGTCCCTACCCGCTAGAGGCACCAGCACTTGTGACAATGGGAACCATCTCTAGGCAGTAGCAGATGTCTCCCGGGACACCCTCCCCATCCCAGGTCAGAACACGGCTCTGGAACTTTAGAGCAAGAGAAGACTAGAGTGGGCAGGAGTAGTAATGAAGGCTTTATGAAATGCCTAGACCCTGAGTTGGTTCTCAAGGATGGGAGGCTGGAAAGGAAGGAGGAAGGTGCTCCCGTTGTGGGAGCGGCACGAGCTAAAGCTAAGAGGAAGGTTGGCATCGGTCTCGGCCAGGCCTGTGGAGGCTGCCCGGCTTTCACCACGGTCTCTGCTTGGGCACCCAGGAGAGCAGCCAGGCCCTCGTGCTCCACACCCTCCGGTCCAGGCCCATCTGGGAAAACCAGCTCATCAGCCTCACTCCAAAGCCGTTATGAGGGGTGTGTCGAGAGGAGTAGCCACAGCTCCTGCCTCCACCTCTGGGAGAGCCCGGGATTTGGCCCCCCGCCTGGTTTGGGGTTAAGCAAAGCATCTCCAGTTTCTGGCCGTGAGCCTACCCTGCGCAGGGTGTGAGGGGGCTCCCCTGACGTTGAATTCCTACCGGGAAGCCCCGATTGCATTCCAGCTCCAAGGGAGGAGTGGGAGCCACCTGCCACGCAGGAGGCTGCTGGGGTCCCATGTACATGAGGAGGATCTCAGAAGGGTCTCCAGATGTGCACCCCGCCCCCGAGTACAGGGTAGCCCAGGACCGGCACCCTTGCCTCCCCGCCCCCATCCGAGTGCCAGAAATTTGTTCCCATGGGCTCTGTGCCCCGCAGGGTTGTTCTCCTTCCCTTCCCTTCCCCATCATTAAGGAGTCTCTCTGGGAAGCCCAGCAACTGAGAATAAGACTGTGATTGCTAATCATTCCACCTCATTAAGAATGTCAGCAACAGGATGACAATTTGGCCAGATCCCATAGGAGCCTTATTTTGTTAGAAAGGGGAGGGGGCAGGGGGAGCCAAAAACTAAGAAATGCATCATCCGCTAGACTTTTCACCCAAATATTCTATTAGATGAGTACGAAGTATGAATTTTCCTCCTGGGAGTAGTCCATAATTCAAAGTTCAAGTTTCCTGCTGGCCAGCGAGATGTATTTTATTTGCAAGCAGTCTTAGAGAGGGAACTTCCCAGCTTGAATTTGGGCGGGGAGGGAGACCTCAAAGCTCTAACGCCCAGCCCTGAAGCCCTGTCACCAGGCCTGCCCCTTGGTACTCATTGCATGCTGCTTTCGGGCATGGCTTGGGCTCACAGCGTTGCTGTGTAACTTTTCTATTTTTCATTCTTACCAGGGCTCAGCCTTGTCCGTGTTATAAGTTCTTTCTTCAAATCACAGTCGAACATACTGACACTTGCCTAAACATGAGTAACTCTGTGTAGTCTGCGGGTCCTAAAGCACACACGGGGGTTCTCCAAGCCAACAGAGCTCTGGCAGGAGGAAGGGGGCACCCGCACAGCTCTGGAGGGAGGGGGCTGGGGGTGGTGTGTGAGCGGGTGGTGGAAGGAGACAGTGCCAGGGACCAGATCATAGAGGACTCTGGCGGGCAGGCTAACCGGTTTGGACAAAGAAAGAACCTGAGACTCCGGCTACTTACTGGACTCACTGTGGAGATCAGACAGCTGTTAGGAGAAAGATCCGAGTTTCGCAGACCTCTCTGTCTGTGTGGAGAGCTTCCCCTGAGCCATCTGTCCCCTCCCTGTGAGGCCTCCCTGCTGTCTGCTGGTCTGGAAGACGTCTGTACAGGGTTTGAGGACCCAGAAGGTGACGGAGCTAGGAGGAGTGCCCGTTGTGCGGACCACAGGCCACACAGCCATCGGGCACCACGGCCTTCTCCACAGCCGTGGGATGGAGCTGGGCCTCCCTGCCCCCTCCGCCAGCCCAACTCCTGGCTCCCTGAGGCCTCAGTTCCCTTTAGGTCACCTTCCCTCGTGTTGCCTCCGGATTCATCTGAGTCTGGTTTTCCCTGCCCCGCGATGGCCCCAGGGGCGCCCACACTGGTGTCTGGTCCATGGGCCCCTTCTCAGAAGGGCTGGGCCGCCTGCCGTGTGCACCCCTCTGCCCATCTACCAGCAAGCCTTGAGGGACAAGCCGGCCTGGCTTGAATCCCAGGGCAGGCTCTGCGGCCACTTTCCTGATGGACACAAGGAGAACAAAATGGACCGTGTAGGGCTGCTGTGTGCCAGCAAATAGTCAGTGTTCAGGAAGAAGGGACTACGAGGGGCTTCTCCGCGAACGTGGACCAAGGGGCGGACCTGCTGCGACACCGTGTCTGCACGTGCTGGTAGTTGCCATTTCGGCTTCCTCGTCTCTAAGCTGGGGCTGTTCCGTGGCATTTTTGTTGGATCCAAATCAGCACTTTCAGGGTATTCTGGAACGCAGCCTGTGGTCAGTCAGGGAGCAGGAGACAGCTCTCGTGGGCACTGCTTCCAGGCCCGGGACATAACATGGATACTTGGGACAGTGGATACTTGGTTAGGAAGCGACACGAAAGGCCTCGTGTCAGCTGGTGACTTGGCCCCCACCAGTTCCAGGCCACATGCCCAGCACACCCCAGCAGAAGCGCTCGTGGTCCCCCACCGCTATTTAGCGGTAACAAGCCTCCCCTTTCCTCTGCAGGCCAATTTAGCTTTCGATCCCGCAGCTCTGCTGCCTGGGGCCTCGCCCAAGAGTCCTGGACTTAAGGCCGTGGTGTCACCGTTCCAGAGCCCACCCTCCACTCCCAGCAGCCCTGGCGTGCGGTCTCAGGCCGGGGAGCCCGAGGATGTGCCTGTGAGCTTTGACCAGCCTCCTGAAGGGAGCCGTCTGCCCTGTTACAACAAGGTAGTGTCTGGGCCCAAAGCCCTGGGAAGCCCTGGGGCGCATCTGAAGAGATGCGGGGACGGGACAGTCTCGAATATCTCTGCCCTGAGGACGCTGGCGCTCTCCTCAGAGCTGCCTTTGACAGGAGGAAACTTTTCCTGCTGGCTCACCAGCCTCCCATCCTGTCTCCCAGAGCTGTGCCACTCACGCGGAGGGCCGCCTGGGGGATGGAGTGCTCTGTCTCTGTGGAGAGAGGGCAGAGGGCTCGGGACAGATCCCAGCTGCACAGACTGTTGTGACAAAAACTGAAAAAAGTCTGAAGGCCTGATCAGACCCACACAGTGGGTGGGCAGGTCGTGAGGGCTCCGAAACACGCGGCTCTGGCTGGATCTAAACCCATTTAGGTGCCCCACTGTGGGCTGAAAGGCCTCTTACTGCAGCTTGCTCCGTTGAAAGAACGTCCAAACTGTACCCTTTGCACAAAAGGATGTGGGGCCCATTTCTGTAGATGCTGCCGTGACAGTGAGCGTGCTTTCCTTTGTCAGACCCTCGGCCCTACTGTACCCGGTAAGAATCGGAGCTCCAGTCCAGCACTGTCCGGGCGGTGCCCAGCAAATCGGGGCCAGAGCCCGGCAAGGGCCAACATAAAGGGATCTGAGGCCAGGGGATGGCAAATGGATAGAACTTTAAAGAAATGGATGGAAAGAGTGGGGTCTTCCGGGCCATTTCAGAAAATTCATGGGGAAAAATCAAATGGGTAGAAACAGGTAGGACCCAGGGAAACAAACTGATGCTAAGTCTTGAGCCTGCGGGCTGGGGACAGGGCAGAGATCCTCCGGCTCAGGGTAATGGAAAGACCCCTGACAGCAGAGAAGAACCCAGGGCAGAGCCTCCTCTCTTCATGGGATGCTCACTAGTGAGACGTGGCCGAGGGAGGGAGGCGGGGCCGGGAGGGAGGGGCTGCCACCTGGTTGTGATGGGGGAGAGGGGTGCTTTAGCCTTCTGAGGGCAGCAGGGACCCTGCTGTGACGGCAGGGCCAGGCCTTGATAACCTAAAGGGCTAGCAGCGCCATGGTCTCAGGAAAGGGCCTGGGAAGCCCTACAAGAATAAGATTTAAGGTTCATATGAAATTGTGAAGGACACAACACTTGCATAAAGCAAGGCGTCCACATAAACATTTCCACCGCGCTTCTGGCAGAGTCCACTGGGCCTAGATGAGGCCCGCGTGGCCCGGAGGCACATGCACTTCCCGGACCAGACAAGATAGTCAGGCGGCTCCGCTGGACGGCCCTAAGCCTTCTGCTCATGCTGGACCGGAGCCCAGGAAAGAGAAGGCGTCTGCCTGTGCAGCTTTCCCGGGATTAGCCAGCTCTGCGGAGGGTGGGGCGGGGGCGGGGGGCGCCAGGCTGGGGAAGGGGGCGAAGCTGATCACCGGCTGTGCGGCTCTGTCCCCATGAGGTCCCTGAGCAGGGCCAGGCCACCTGCAGACCCCTAACGCTCTTGTCTGTTGGGTTCACCTGTGTCAAAGTAAAATGTCCTAAATGTTAAAACATGACTCTTATAAAAAATAGACATCGATTTTACTCAGTTTGTCCATTTGTGAGGAAACCTGTAATATGGAAAAGCTCATGCAAAGAACCTCAAAAAGCTGGTTATTTATAGGCAGCGAAAAAAAAATGTTGGTATTAAATTGCTAAATTCGACACCAAACGGATTAATGTTTTACAGGATAATAAAGGTTATCGTTTTTAGTGGATGGAAAGCATTTGCATCTTCATGAGGCAAAAACCTACAGGTCAGCCTGTGACTTCACAACCCCAGATACACAGCACGCAGGGGTCCGTTTTCCTGGAAAGTAAAGGGCCCTTGGAGGCTGGCTGAGGAAGCAGCAGACTGACATCGGAAGACACGCAGTCCCCCTCTTGGCCTTTCTCACAGGCAGCGAATAATTTCTCTTAACACGTTCTTCCAGGTGCGGACGAAGGGCTCCATAAAAAGGCGTCCTCCCTCCAGGCGATTCCGGAGGTCCCAGTCAGACTGTGGGGACCTGGCAGACCTCAGGGCCCCCGAGTCATCCCAGGAGAATGGTGCCAAGGAAGAGAATGGGGATGAGGTGTTCCCATCCCACAGCGGGGCCCTGGGTTCTCCTTCTCCCGGCGAGGGGCCAGTGGGGGCCCAGGAGAAGCCTCCTCTGAGGAGGACGTCCAGCCGAGCGGAGAGGCAGGAGAAGGGCCAGGCCGTGGATGAAGCACAGCAGCCCCAGAAGGCTGTGGGGGGCTCTGAAGAGGAGGCCAGCCCACGTCCAGCCACAGGGGAGGCTGTCCAGCCAGCCCAAGCCTCCAACCCGGAGGCCGAGAATGGTCGCAGGATCCCCACAGAAGGAAAAGAAGAGACAGAAAAGAGGGAGGCAAAGGAGGAGACGGCAGCAAAGGAAGACGATGAGCCCAGCCAGAGGAGCCAAGACACAGCGGGGTCGGCAGAGAGAGCTGTGGGGGAGGCCCCAGCAGGCCCCCCTGAAGGGGCGGAGGTTCCCCACATCCTGGAGCAGGGCAAAGGCAAGGAAAGGGACGAGGAAGGGGCTGCTCTGGAGCCAGGCTGCCGCCCCAGCGAGGAGGCCCCCGAGACAGAGGTAAGCGGCCTGCACGATGCCAGGAGGTGGCCAGGGCTAGAGTGTGTCTGCTTATGCGTCCTCACAGATCAGCTCAGTTGTGCAGAAAAAAAGGCCCCGGCTTGAGACAGACTGTTGTGGATGGTGAGAGGACAGAGACACAGGAAAGAGAAGCAGGCCCGGGAAGCCCGGGAGACCAGCAGCTCCTTAGGACACGCTAAGGAAAGCAGAGTGTGGCCCTGGGCAGGGGGTTCTCTGGGGGAAGCCCAAAGCACAAGGAAGGGGGCAACCGTGTGTGTGTGCATGTGCGTGTGTGTGCGTGTGCGTGTGGGAGGAAGTTGGAGAAGCTTCAGGGTGAAGATGGCATTTGAGTGGGGCCATTCGAGGAGGAGGCTTTGTGGTGGACACAAGGGCACAGAAGGAGGGGGTCCCTTGGCCCCGCCCCACCCCCACTTCCTGGCCCTTCAGCAGCCCCTTCACTCGCGTTGAGCTGAAACTGCACGTTCCTTCGTTACTCTCGCCCATTCCTGCTCACGAGGTGCCCACGTGTCTTCCACGTCCCTGTCTCATCAGTCCCTAGGCCTTAGGGGCTTTCCCTCCTGCTGCTCCACTGTCATGACCCCTTCCTTATCTCTACAATCAGACTCATCCCTCCTGGGATTCCTGATCTCCAGACTTGCCCTACACATTAGCACCCAATTCCCCTTCCTGAAAATGGCATCTCGAGGTCTACGCTCCTGCCCCAGATGCTTTGATACCACACATTGGAAAATCGAGTTCCTGTTCCTCTCCGTGCTGAACTTTCTCCCAACTTTCCCTCCCCGCCATCATGGCACCCATGCCTCTAGCCAGCCTCCAGCACCCACCCACGAGAGGCAAGGCACCCGCCCATGCATCCTGCCGTGGCCTCCACCATTGACGCCTGCACCCCCAATGGAGATTTCCCTTGGTGCCACCTGGAAACCATCCCACTGCCTCCATGTCCTCCGCAGACCTCCCCTGACCACTCCAGTGAGACACCCGCAGGGACCCGTGCAGTCCCTTACATTCAGCACAGCACATTCTGGTGGCCCAGGGCCCAGGCCGTGGTCACATGCCACGGACACACTGGTAAACGTCTCTGCCTCCAGCCAGAGACCCCGTGGTCTAAGGCCTGGTGCAGCCCCAGCCCGGAAGGAGCCAGAAGTCATGCTTTGGGTTGAATGTTGACTAAACAGCGATTTTCCCTTTTGTTAGAGCATCCACCTTCTGTTTTGGGTTCTTTGTGTTATTTTCCCACTTTTACGCCAGCAAAACTTCTGAAGCAGTGTAGCGGAAGATGAAACAGAGCAGGAGTGGATGCATAGGTGGGAAGCTAGTGTGGGGAGGGCGTGGGAGCCGGGCGTCAAGGAGCAGGCGATGTTGCCTGATAGTTAAGGGCTCAAGCTCTGGTCTGATAGTCGAGGGCTCGAGCTCTGGTCACCGGGTTAAATCCTGGCTCCACGACTTCCTAGCTGTGTGACCTAGGGGAAGCCACGCGACCTTCCTGTGCCTTCACAGCTCCACCTGCAGAACGGAGCTAACAGAAGTATCTAATGTGTCTTGCTTTTGTGAGGAATAAAGGAGCCGGTGCTGTCGCGCACGCCGCGTTGTCGTCACCACCGCTGCCGCTCGTGTTACATTCTTGCGGGTCCGCCATCCCCAAAGACATCTGCCGAGCATCAGGATGTCCCCCACTCTCTTCCCAACTCATCTGTTCCTCCTGTGTTTGCAGGAGAACACCCCTGTCCAGGACAGTAAGATGTGAGGAGGTCACCGTGCCTTGTGATGAGGCTGCCGGAGACGCCTCTTTCAAAGGAGCAACAAGAGTAGCAGCCAATGAAGCCGTCGCTGACGCAGAGCTCGTGGAGGGTCTGGAGCGGCCCGAGACAGAGACCTCACTGTTTCTGGGTCTCCACGCTGACACTCTCTTGCAGGCAGAGATCAGTCAAAGGCCGGCAGCCTTGCATCACCTTGAGTTCGTGTCACTGGATGGACTTGGTTTAAGAAAAAAAAAACAAAAACTTACTTAGAACAGTTTACTGTGGGGACAGCTCCCAGGGATCCTCGCCAACCTGTGGGGCCTGGCTCCCAGCCGCACCCACCTGTCCCTGCGGCTGATCTCAGAACTGGATTCTGACTTAGCTTCTCAGATTTTGTTTTGTGCAAAGCAATAGCCTTTTTAACGCTCTGAACTTTTTATGATTCTCAGATGTGAGTAAAAACTGATTTCAGGTGGGTGGAAACAAAAGGAAAGAGTGTTGCTGAAATATAAATCCCGTTAGTTACAGAAGACCTCAGTTACGGAAAAGCTTAAATTGTGGAGACCCCGAGACAACCTCTCAGCTTTGTCCACATGTGAACCGGCCAACCAATTTTTAAAACATTGGCGTGGAAGAGGTACTTACTGCACCATTTAAAAATATGTATTAGGAACCTCTGCTGTCCGGGAGTTTTCCAGTCTGTGGTACCCGGGGAGGTGACAGGCTCAGCCCATGCTCTTCCCTGGGGAGGAGGAGGTGGAGACGGGCAGATCCGGAGAAGCAAATGTGAGGTGTCACGGTTCTGCACGCGCTGCCTTTCCTCATCCTGAGAGCAGAGTGGGGAGACCTTAACAACGGCCGCCCCCTGACGCATCTGGGGGAGGAAATGTGCTGTTCTGCACGACGTCCTTGAACCTGGAGTAGGTGCTTCCTGGGAGGTGCTGGCGCGTCTGTTTTGAAAGGTACAGGATGAAGACACCTTCCTAGCTTCCCGGAAGCTGCTCTTGAATCAAAGCCCAGGCCTCCTTTCCAGATGGGATTGGGGGGCCTGGGTTTTCAGCCTCTTCTCAACGGGTTGCTCTGGCTTTAATGTTCCGTGTGGAGAGTGCAAGGGGCTTTGCAAGGAGCAGGGGCCATTTCCTCTCCCCTCCTGATGCAAAGCTGTTTATCCAAATACATGGTTAATCTTTGGGTTTGGTTCTCATCCAGGGCGGAGGGTTTCAGCGTCTCGCTGCGCTAATGCGGTAGACGGAGCAGCTGTTTCTCTGAAGGTCCGTCTGACAGCCTCCTACCCTGACTTCAGAAAACCGTGTCCCAGACAGAAAGGCCTCTGTCCCTGCCGGTACCTCAGCATTCTCAGTACAGTACAGGTTCCCAGGACCGTTTTCCTAACTCCGGATAGTGTTCATACTTGGGATATATATTTTTTCAAAGTTTTTTTTTTTTCAAAAGTTTTTTTCAAACCTTTTAAAATACAAGCATTTTCTAGACCTTGTAACTTAGTTAAGCCCGAAATTTTAAGTTTTATGTTTTAACAGGATTTTGGAGCTAGGTGTGTCTGTTATTTTGAGGTCTACATAATCCATAGCTATCCCTCCCTCCCCCATCCACCCATCCATCCGTCTGTACCTGTCCCTCTCCTATCTGCCCATCCATCTATATCAACAGAGATGTGTTACCCCCTAAACAATACATGATTTTATTTACATATGTCTTTGGGTTGTTTATGACACACACATCTGGGCCAGAGTTTAGTGAATGTGTGTGTGTTTGTGAGCGTGTGTGACAAAAGAAGGGACATCTGCCACTTTCCTTTACTTGAAAAAGGAATGGGCCAGGCAGCCTGGGATGTAGCTGTGAGGACAAAACTATCTTTTGTCTGGAGGCATGACAGCTACAGCAGCAGGTGGGTAAGGAACAATGCATAATGACAAGAATGGGACCCTAGAGGAGCAGCCGTAATGGGGTCAGAATGACTTTCTACCAGCGCAGTTCCTAGTGCTCACGTTATTGGATCTACCTTGTGAGAAGTCAGAGGCCCTTTCCCAGTGGGTTGTTTTGACGGCTGGGGGCTGTGGGCGGGGGATTCACAAAGAGCCCAAACTGTTCTGGCTTCCGAGGCTGTCCCGCCGTTGGTCGCTTTCCTTCCCGAAGCAACTGCGATTACGTAACGTGTTGCATTTGCAGATCCGGAATTTCAACATTGGGAATCCGAGAAATCCATTTGTGTCTTAGTTAGCACAAAGCCATCCCTGGGCCAGGAAGACTTGGTTTGGTTCAGGCTTCCCTGATAGGCTTGAAGGAAAAATACTGATTTCTTCACAGCTATGAGGCTCCAGAGAGGAGTCGAGGCGTTCCTCCTCTGCCTCTGTCTTCGGCTTGATTTGCATACTGTGTCTTTCCTTTCTCCAGAAAGGGAGCAAGAAAAACAAAAACCCTGAATGCTTTGAAGGGAGATGCCAGTATTTGATCTGGGGCTGTTCCACGGTTTCAGCCGCGTGTGAGACTGGTCACCAGGTGACCACCGGAAGCCCAGGGGCCTCCACTGTCCTCCCTGAGCTGCCCCCCGGACAAAGCTCGGTTTGCCAGTCAACTAGACCCTCAAAAAACATATGTCTAACAAAGGGTTAAATTAGTGGACAGGCAGCCAGTGGTTCATCACCTCCTTTGACGAGACACTCTTGGCCGCATGACTGTGTAACAGAGAGTTGATGAATGAGAACCTGCTGTTGCTAATGAAAGAAACCCAACTTCAATTGGCCGATAAAAAACAGAAAACTGGGGGCGCCTGGGTGGCTCAGTGGGTTGAGCCTCTGCCTTCAGCTCAGGTCATGATCTCAGGGTCCTGGGATGGAGCCCCTCGTCAGGCTCTCTGCTCAGCGGGGAGCCTGCTTCCTCCTCTCTCTCTGCCTGCCTCTCTGCCTGCTTGTGATCTCTCTCTGTCAAATAAATAAATAAAGTCTTAAAAAAAAAAACAGAAAACTGTATCTCTCTATGAATCTCTCTCTCTCCCTCCCTATATACTGAATAATATAAATTAAAAACCCATGGATAGGCCTAAATACAATACTCAAGCAATATCAGAAGCCTCTCTTTGTTTCTTGGTCTCTGCTTTCCTCTGTGTTGGCCATATTTCCCAAGCAGGCCCTTCACAGCCTGTAAGCCCAATGGAAAGAGCTTATTCTTTTCCAATAGCACCAGGGAAAGAAAACCTACAAAGGATTTCTATAAACCCTGTGTGGATCACATGTTCATACTGGAACCAGCCTTTACGACTGAGGAGCTGCGGAGAACAGACCGGCCAGGCCTGGGTCATGTGACCTCTGGAGCTAAGGGCTAGGTTAGCAGTTCCTGTGCAGTCTGCAAGGACTGTGAATGGGGACAATGGGTGTCCAATGGGGTGCTGTTACCAAAGGAAATTATGCTGGAAGGTCCAAAAAACATAGCAACAGATGTGTCCAACAGGGCAATCCCAGACACACCAAACTACTATTGCATGGTTTACTAAAACATTAAATTTTGTTTGACCCCTCAGCAAGATCTAATCAACGTTGTGCTTATGGGCCAGGTAAACATAGTGGGAGCAGAATGCTAGAAAAGTCTAGGGACAGGAGACAGAATTTTCTGACTTCCCAGTCTTGCTTGGGACAACCCAGGCTCCCACTCAGCCCAGTGACGTCCTGACCAGAGTGGCTATGGTTGCCAAGAAGACTTGTGTTCCAGCGCTGCCCTCAGATCCCCGGGGAGCTGTGGAATTCCGGAGAGGCTCCGCTGTGCCCAGATGGGCAGGAAACCTTGGCTCTTTGAGACTCCAGAGGAGGAAGAGACAATGCATACGTTGTGTACTTCTCAGTGAAAAGGGAACCTGGGTAAAGCCACCTACCTCAAGAACCAGAGCATAAAGACTTCTTACTCCTTCTAATCCTGGAAAGCTGTGGGCTTCTCCGTGGGAGTCCTTGCAGTGCCAGGGAGGGGCTAGGAGGAAAACAGGATGCAGAAGGAAGGGGTCAAAACAAGCAAACACCCCCCCACCCCCACCAGCTACTCCTGTAAGTAATGATTCTGGCCCTTCAAGGTGTCATTTTACATAAAAATTTGAGAAAATTACTTGAATTTAGGCAAACCTGTAATGTCAGTTATCACACTTCTCAACCAGTTCTTTTTAAAAGAGTAAGTGGACTGGATTGCACTTAAACAAGCATTCAAAAACAAGACTCTAGAATGACTATGTATGGTTGGTGCTAAAAAAACAGTAGGAGCCCTACCCTAGTCGTTACTGTTGGACGGTCTAAGGAACCCATGGGTGCTGGATGGCTCCAGGAACTCCGTCCCATCATGGCTGCACCAGCCCCTTCGGGAGTGACCGTAACAGCTTTACTGACGAACTCCAGAAGCAGCTAGGCTGAAAAATCAAAAGGCCTGTTTCACACTGCCTCAGAGTCTGTGTCTCTTTTCTTTTACCAAGCACAAAGAAACGCAGAGTTCTTAAGGTATGATTTAGGGTGCGTGGGTGGCTCAGTTGATAAGTGTCTGCCTTTAGCTCAGGTCATGATCCCAGTGTCTTGGGACTGAGTCTCGCATCAGGCTCCCTGCTCATCGGGGAGCCTGCTTCTCCCGATCCCCCAGCTTGTGCCCTCTCTCTATCAGATAAACAAATGAAATCTTTAAAGATAAATAAATAAAGTGTGATTTAAAGGTGTTAATTATCCTTATTCTTTCTTATTATAAAAGCAATACATCTTTATTTTAGAAAATCTGTGGAGGAAAGGAAAAGTAATTAAGAACAAAAATGTTTATAATTCCACTACCAAGAAATAGCTAGTATTAAGATTTTATGGAGTTTTTCTAGTTTTTTTTAATCTGCATATGTATTTTTGCTTTAATTCTTGTTACAAAATTAAGTTCTCCATACATGTAATTGTGCATCTTTCCTTTTTGTAACATACTATCATGAACGGGTCTTCATAAACAATCCCACTTCTGATCATGAAAACTGTACACTTTTGTCCTTTTCTATGCGGCCAATAACATCCAGAGCAAGACCAAATCTATATAAAACAGAGGGACAATAAGATCCGCTGGTGGAAATGGTATTCCAGAAGAAAGTGGTTCTTTCCACAATCTCAGCCTTAGATTTCTATCACGTTAGGACTTCAAGACTTGAGGACTCTCAAAACTTAAATCAAGTGAAAACTTTTGAATGAAAAAAGAAAGGCCTGAGGCAGTACCAAAGATTCACTTCTGATGATTCAGGGTCTGCAAAATTCAGGGGAAGTTATGAGATAGACCTCAGAAAAAGAACCATTGAGGGAAACCATGTAGAAATACTTTTAGTAAAAAGGAGCTAAAGCTATTATAGGATATTGGACTGGAGTCTGGAAAAGACACACATTTTCAATCAGATTCAAGTTTCTGTTTGGATCAGGGCGCGGCTTGTGGTGGTGAAGCAAATCTGAGAGTCATGACAACCTCAGCAGCCTGAAAGTCAGTTAGTGCCTAACTTCAGGGGCAGCAAATAAGGCTGAGCACACAGTCCTGACTCCAGTCCTGGGTGCCGAGTCAGCAGAGTCCCCTGAATGGCAGACCCATGTGATCAGATTGTATTCTCACTTCCGGAGACTAACGTCAGGTCAGAACAAAGTTTGCACCCCTTGGGTCTAGATTGGGTCTGAATTCAGCAGCGTGCAAACATTAGTTACAAAATAGGAATGAAAATGATTGTTAAAGCCATTCCCCGTTCCAAGGCCTCCACCCTGACATCATCCCAGAGTTACTCTAATCATCTCCTAATGGACCTACTTTATTTATTTGACAGAGTCACAAGTAGGCAGAGGCAGGCAGAGAGACAGGGGGGAAGCAGGCTCCCCGCTGAGCAGAGAGCCCGATGTGGGGCTCGATCCCAGGACCCTGAGATCAGGACACTGAGATCACTACCCAAGCCGAAGCAGAGGCTTTAACCCACTGAGCCACCCAGGTGCCCCAGGACCTGCTCTAATTTCATCTTCTTCCACTCATACATCTGACCCCAAGTCAAAATTATCGTTGGTTGTAGTTTTAACATCACCACCATTCTCAAAAGCGTTGATGCCACCAGATTCCTTTAATAAAATTAAAATATTAAAGCATGGGTTTTGGGGCACCTGGGTGGCTCTCTGCTCACCGGGGAGCCTGCTTCCCCTCCCCCTCTCTGCCTACTTGTGATCTCTGTCAAATAAATAAATAAAATCTTTAATAAAAAGGAAAAAAAAGAAATAGTTCATAAAGCCTGGGTTTCAAACTTCTCCAAGAGCCACTGGTCCTGTTCTTCCAAGACAGTTTCCATCTTACTCGCAAACCAGCCGAGCTAAGTTCATTGGCATGAAATTGCACACGAGCCATAAAAGTTGTCACAGTGGTCATCTCTTGTGACCGAATTACCTCAGAAAATCACCTAAAACATGAAAACTGTACGCACAGACGGGCCAGTCAAGCAACATTTACTCCAACGAAACGCTGGGCGCGGCTTCCGTAGCCTGCGGGGAAATAGGGATGTCCTTGCCGCGTGGTCTTGAGGGCACAGGTTTAAGTCACTAGGAGCGACTTCAGGGATAAGAAAGCAGGTGTGGGAAATTCAACGACCTTGAGAGTGGCCGGGCAGAGGCAGGAGAGGCCTCTGGAGGAGAGGAGGTCTCGGACGAGGACAGGGTGTCCAGTTCCACGTGCGGTCCAAG